CCTTCTCCGTGCGCACCAGGCCAGGCTTGGGATGGAGCCGGGTGGCGGCGGTGAACCCTACCTGCTGCTGGATTGCATGGCAGCGGCCCCCCCACAGGGTGTGTGAACTCTACGGAGCTTCTATCTCCCCTGCTGGACGTCTCTGTGCTCCGTACGCATTGGGCCGGGCTGCTGGATTGCGCAGCAGCAGTGTGGTCCCCGTGGAGTTCCTGCCTCCCTTGCCGGACATCTCCCTGCTCCGAGTGCACTAGGCTGGGCTGGGAATGGAGCCGGGTGCCTGCAGTGAAGCCTTCCTGCCGGATCGTGCAACAGCGGCCCTGCAGGGCATGTGGTCTCCATGGAGCTTCTGCCTCCCCCACTGGACGTCTCCCCATTCTGTATGCACTTGATGTTAAGTTTTTATAGTTTAAATCGGTTGATTTGTGGGAGAGAGTGACGCTAGGGACCGTCTATTCCACCATCTTGACTGGAAGTTGGATTGTTCATTTTTAGCGTATAGAAATTAACGAATTTTTGTGTGTTGATTTTGTATCGTGCAACTTTGCCGAATTTGTTTAACTAACTCTAAGAGTTTTTTTTTTAATCTTAAGGATTTTCTACATGTAAGATCATAACATCTGTAAACAGATAAAATTTCACTTATTGCTTTCCAATTTGGATGTCTTTTCTTTCTTTTTCTTGCCTAAATGCTCCAGGTAGAACTTTTAGTACTATGTTGAATAGAAGTGGTGAAAGCAGATATTCTTATTCCTGATCGTAGGGGAAAATCTTTGTCTTTTGCTATTGTCTCTGATGTTATCTGTGTTTTTCATATATAGCCTTTATCACGTTAAGGAAGTTTCCTTCTATTTCTAGTTATTGCATGTTTTTATCACAAAAGGGAGTTGAATTTTATCAAATTCTTTTTCTGAATCAAGATGATCTGCCATTCCCTCTTGAATCTAATCCAGTCAGGCTCTTGCCTCTGCCACTCCTCAAAGCTGCTCTTGTCAGTTATGTCTTTGCTGATCCAATGGCCATTTCACAATCTTCAGTTTACTTGACTCACCAACAGCATTAGCCTGGGTGATCACTGCCTTTTTCTGGAGATTATTCTACCTCACCTTGTTGGTTCCTTCACGTTTCCCTGACTTCTAAACACTAAAGTTCAGTCCTTAGGCCTCTTCTCCTTAGATCTCATCCAGGCTCATGGCTTCAATTACCACCTAAAGGCTGATGACTCTAGACCTCTCCCTGAGCTCCAGATCTGAATATACTATGACCTACTCAACACCTCCACCTGGATGTATTACTATAAGCACCTCAAAATTAACAGGTTCAAAACTGAGCTCTTTATATTCTGCCCAGTCAGGCTCTTCTCACAGTCTTCATCACTTCATTACTGACACTTTAATTCCTCTTATTGCCCAGGCCAAAACTATGGAGTCATCATTGACCTCTCTTTTGTACCCACTTCTAAACCATCAGCAAATCCTGTTGGCTCTGCCTTCAAAATGCATTATTTAGAGTCTGATCACTTCTTATCACCTTCACTGCTACCAAGTCTCCCTCTCCTCTTATCTGGATGGCTTCTGTGGCCTCCTGAAAGGTCTTCCTGCTTCTGCTCTTCTACTCTACAGTTTGTTCTCAATATGAGAGCAATGCCTTTAAGATATTTATTAGATCAGCTCTCTTCTAGGCACTCAAAGTCAAAGTCCTTTTGATGGTCTACAAAAGGCTCTGCAGTACCTGGTTCCTGTCACATTCTGATGTGGCAATGGGTTCTTGATATGACACCAAATACACAAGCAAAAAAAAAAAAATAGATAAATTGGATTTCATCAAAATTAAAAACTTTTGTGCTGCTTCAAAAGACTCCACTGAGAAAGTGAAAAGACAACCCACAAAATGGAAGAAAATATTATTTGCAAATCATATACCCGATAAGGAACTTGTATCCAGAATATTTAAAGAACTCTTACAGGTAAATAATAAAAACATAAATAACCCAGTTTAAAAATGGGAAAAGGCAGGGATGACTGGTTAGATCAATTGGTTAGAGCACAGTGTTGTAACACCAACATTGAGGGTTTGGATCCCCGTACCAGCCAGCCACCAAAAAAAAAAAAAAAAGAAAAGAAAAGAAAAGGACAAAGGCTCTCTAAATAGGCATTTCTCCAAAGATGATATACAAATGACCAATAAGTACAGAAATGATGCTTGACACCTTTAGTCATTATGGATGTTGGCAAAGATGTGGAGAAACTGTAGCACTCATACTTTGATGGTTGGAATGTAAAATGATGCAGCTGTTTTGGAAACAGTCTGCTAGTTCCTCAAAAAGTTAAACAGAGTTATCATATAACCCAGCAATTCCATTTGTAGGTATGTACCCAACAGAACTGAAAACATATGTCCACACAAAAACTTGTACACAAATATTCATAGCACCATTATTCATAATAGCCAAAAACTGGAAACAACCCGTATGTCCATCACATGATCAACAGATAAACAAAATGTGGTATAGCTACACAATGGAATTCATGCAGCCACAAAAAGAATGAAGAGCTGATATATGCGACGGCATGAATGAAAAAATTATGCTGTGAAAAAAGCCAGACACAATTTCCACAATAGGCAAATCTATAGAGACAGAAAGTAGATTAGTGGTTGCCAGAGGCCTTGGGAGAGGGTAGAACCGAGAGTAACTGCTAATGGGTGTAAGAGTTTCTTTGGGGAGTGATAAAATGTTAGGGAATTAGATAGAAGTAATGGTTGAAAACCTTGTGAATATACTAAAAAAACTACTGAATTGCACACTTAAAAAAGTAAAATTAAAAAGAAAAACAAGGGCCGGCCCGGTGGCGCACTGGATAAGTGCGCCGCTTGGGAAGCGCGGCGGTGCTCCCGCCCGAGGGTTCGGATCCCACATACAGACCGGTTCCCGCTCACTGGCTGAGCGAGGCGCGGGAGCAACACCGAGGGTTGCGATCCCGTTGCCGGTCCCCGGTCCGGTACGGGGGCAACACTGAGGGTTGCGATCCGTTGCCGGACACGGAAAAAGACAAAAGACAAAAAAAAAAAAAAGAAAAACAAATAAAAATGTTCCATCAGGCCATTAGCTGTCTAACCCCGGATGTCAAATTGCCAGCTCTAGAACAAACAAATTTAATCCATCATCCTGAGTGTACACCAGAAAGACAAATATTGATACAGTTTATTCTCTTAGGAATAAACCTCTGAGATGAAGAAAGAGATATGGTGAACAATTCCACCTCTTCTTACATCTTAGAGAGGCGTATCTATCTGCTTTTGAAAAATGATTAATCTCCTCCTTAGAAAAACATCTCATATCTTCTAGTCCCTCCTAGGCATACCGCTGAATCGAGTGACAGGGTATTAGGTGAACAACAGGCATCTCTACACATACAGCAGGTGTCTGGGAGGCTGGGTCCCTCAAGACAATGCCTGCTCCAAGATGAGCTTCTTCCTGCCCGTTCAGGGATGGCCCAGGGGTCTGACCACAGGCTCTCAGCAGCCTTTGTGTCTGGCCTTGGCTGGGTATCTGACCCATGTGTGTGAACACAATCTGCAGATCCTTGAATGGACTTCATCTTCCTCACTAGCAGAATGATGGGGGCAGACTAGATCAGGGAGATGCAACATTAGGTACCCTAAAAGAAAGGAGGTGGCTGGTGAAAAATGGGTTCTGAGATTTGGGAATGCCGTGTTACAGGGTGAAACAGGTTCCTCTACCACAAGTTCTCTCTGGGCTTTAATGTGTTCATGTGGGAGGCAGGACAGCTGTAGGATTAAGAGCCAAGCCCTGATGTCAGACAGATGGTGCTGACTTAGTTCCGGCACTCATCAGCCGTGTGATGTTGGGCACATGACTCAACGTCACTCTGAGCCTTAGTTTCCTCACCTCTAAGACGGGACAAAAAGAGTATTTCCCTCATGAGGCGACTGGGAAGCTTCAATGCATCAGAGTGGGGCTAATTGATTAACATTCTGTGAATCACAGCTTTGCCTTGGCCCCATGGGAGCTCAAAGGGGTGTTGAAGCAGGGGCAGGAGTTTGCCAGGCAGAGATGAGGGGAAAGGGAATCTAAGGTGGAGGAGAGAGCAAGCGCAACAGCACAGAGGCAGGACTGGACACGTGGGCTTGAGAACTGCTGACATGCAGATGTCCGGGGTGACTCAAGCACAGTGGGATAGTGTGGGGGAAGTGGGTACTAAGGAGTTGTCGAGAGAGAACTGCTGCTGGAGTGGCAGACAAGGGCCAGATACAATCAGGAGCCATGGAATGATTTTAGTCAGCTCATTCGGCCAGCTGTGCAGACGAGTAAGGGAGGAGAGCAAGGAAGGAACTCCATGGATGGGAGGAGAGGCCTGGACCAGACCCTTGTCTCTCCCAGCCTCCAGGTCACTCTCAACTGCAGGGAATGTATGGAGAAGACATGGGGCTGGAGATCGGGTTTAGGAGAGCTTGGAGGGCCCTCAGACATCTAGGGGATCCCCCAGGGAGAACCAAAGCAGGTGAGAACCGGGCTCAAAGCTATGGACTGAGAGTGTGCAGGCAGCCTGCCGACCATTTTGAACTAGGAATTATATTCATGTGGTGTAAAATACAAAACGAACCCAGGGGACCTGGGAAAGAAAAGCAAAGGACAGAAGAGACTTAAAGGTGGGGGGCAGGGAGAAACCTCTGGGCCAGTTCCTTTCCAAATAAGTTATATAAAACAAAGTCACCAAACTGAGGTCAAATTTTTCTCCTTGAGAGTACCAAGAGAACAGACAGCCCTTCTTCAATTAGAAGAGCCCTGGCCTGTGTGACCTCAGGAAGGAACCAGGTGATCAGCTCTGCAGGCAGCAGAGAACCAGGCTGCGAGGGTGCTATTGGGCAGAACCCCCACGCCTGTTCACTCTGCCTGCCTCCACCACTCCAGGAATTTCAGCTCACCCTGGCTGCACCTTCTTACTCCAAAACAGAGGAAAGAATGAAGACTTCATACCTGGTAGTTTTAACTTACAAAAAAGTATTTATTAACTCGGTTTTCTTTCTCTTGCCATAACACATAAGCATGACACAGATGGCCTGATACATCAGCATGGAGTTGTCAGAGAGCCCCACCAGTCACTGATTCTAGAGTTACATAACTGGTCTTTGTTAGGCAATATGACATAATTACAGTGTGGTTTGCAATACCATATACAAAGTGGACCAACCCCAGGACCTCCAGCATCTGCCAAGGCTCACTGGGGTGGCCCTGGAATATGAGAATCAAAAGCACTATACAGATTATCAAGAAGGCTTTAGGCAGAACACTGCTGCAGCTATCCCTCTCCTTACAGAAGCCAGAGCTGTTCGCTCTCAAGGCTGCTTGGTCAGAGGCCTGCTTCTCTTGGGAGCAGGGTTGGCCTGAAGGCCTGGCCAGTCTGGCATCTCCCTTTGGCTGCTGGTTGGAAAGCTGCACACTCACCCTGGGAAGCAGTCCCTCGTGCCAACCTGTGGCTGGGCCTCCATAGTTCTCTCTCCAGCTGGTCGGTCTAGCCAACTGGTGCTATTGCTGCTTTTGTGGAAGGGGCTTCCAGGTTGGTGGGAGCTTCCTGTGGATCAAGGTGAGTCCACAGAGGATGAGGAACACTCCTCCCCACCACAAGACCTCCTGGCACTCTCCGTACAGCACATAGCCCAGGAAGGCCTGCGGGACAGAGACAGCCGTGAGAGACCCACGTCAGCAGGTGCGCACAACCTTACTCCCTTGTGGCTCACTTCTTCCCTAAGGGGGCTCAGAGGAACAGTCTGTCATCCACATCAAGTCACTCTCTCCCCTTCCATCTCTCTTGTAGAAGTGGGGAGGCTTCCTCCCTCACAGTACTGGAGCCCAGCAAAGTACATGAGAAAAGCCCAGCAGAGGCCAGCAGACAGGCCCAGCACACGGCTTCATTGACTTGAGCTGGGCTGCTCAACTTCAAGACTGACTGGGCTCAGGTCTACCTTGACCTCATACTACCAGAGGGAAGAAAGGTCTCCAGGAACCTTGACCCTCCATATCTCATGCTTGAATTCACAGACCCCTAAGAGACAGCTGGACTGCACAGGGAGTTCAGAATGAAGGAGCCACCCTGGAGGGACAGCAAGCAGGTAGGCTTTTTACAGTCCAGCTTCATTCCTGTCGAACTTGAGAATTCTTCTGTGTTTAATTGTTCCATGATTAAAGGAGGAGTCGCCCAGGGGTCAAGCCACAGCCCAATCCCTTCTTCAGTTCCTGTCCTTTCTCCTATCTAGGAAAGCAGGAATTCCCCAAGGACAACTCATCCCAAACCCAGGTTTAGGAGCCTACCCTCTGGCTACTCACCGAGCTGAGGATGTTTGAAAAAGTCACTGTGACAGATGCAATGGCTGAAGACATGGAGAAACTGAGGCCCCGGCTAAAGAAGGTCCACATCAAAGAATTGGTGCTTGCCATCAAAATAATGCCTAAGATGCATAAGCCCATGTTCACCTGCAGGAGAAAGTGTCACTGCAGCCATGCCCGCCCCAGGCAGAAAGGCCTGTAGCCCCCTCAGAGCACACCCAGGGTCATGGTTGCTGGCACCCAGACCTACCTAGATTCTCCCACAACCCAGAAGCCACAGAGCTTTCCTGCACAGGGCTTCATTTAACCCTTAGTGGGCAGCAGACCCATCTTACAAATGAATCAGACCCAGACACTTATTTGGCCACCTTGCTGGCCATTTGACCTTGGGCACAAGCAAAAACCAGTACTTTCTACTGAACACCATTCCCTCATTGGTCCCAGAGTGACCAATTCTTGAAGATCAGTCACAGAGGACAAAGTAGCTATTACCTATCATGTAGTATGAGTAAGTCAGGGGTGGAGTCCTTACTGCCCCAGATCAGGTAAAGCAAGAATGGATACCATGAGTGGATATATCAAGATTGGATAGCCATGTCTGCCCCCCTATTGCCCCCAATCATGTGCAAGTTATTCTTGAACTTTTCCTCTGTGCTAAGCCCTGTACGTTCTCATTTATTCCTTAACTTCATTTTACAGATAAAAGAACCAGGGGCATTAAGTACCTTGCCTAAAGTGCTACAGGAGTGAGAGCCACCAGGATTCAAACCCAGGTATTGTGGCTCCATGTTGTTAGCCAGGACACAGCCTCTGTCTGGGGAAAACACCACCTCTGAGACTATTTGACTGGTGATCGATCACAGGTATCACCTGGAGAACTTGCAGATTTTTTTCTTCTTCTTTTAAGGAGCGACCCCCTTGCTTGCCTGCGAGTTAGAAACCTGCCTCCTCCGGGGGTTGGGCCCATCCAGACATCATACTTATTTCTTCTAACAGTTTCCCAGTATCTGAATATCTAGTGTCTTGAGGAAGGGGTTCCTTCTTGTAATTTACACAAAAGCATCCTATGGGCCCAGTGGCTGCCTGCTTACACAAAGGGGGATGAAGGCCTGGTTCACAACTGAAAAGACTAAAAAACTTCTTGGCTCACAGAACCACTCATTTTACCTTGGACCAATTACCCCAAGAATTACACACAAAGGGATACTAACTTGAACGGCAGCTGCCACTGGATTAGACCTAAATAGGCTTAAACCTAAGTAATCACTCTGACCACTGCCCAGGTTAGAGACCAACCCTGGGTTGCAGCTGCAATAAAACCCCTCTAGCAAGTACAGGCTAGTCTATGGCTCAGATGGGAGAGGCAAAGAGGCACACCTTAGCAGACCTAAGGAGGCTGTTTAGGAGTTCTCAGTGTCAGGGAATGTCCAGAAAGTTTCTCTCAGTATTCCTTCATGCCTAGGGTATCCCAAACTCTCAATTTTTCTGGCAGCAGGGTAGACAGGTCAGAACACCCGTTAATTAAGGAGTAAAGAGATGGGCAGCAGGCTTCTCACCTGAAGAATCACGTGGAGAGAAATGTTCAGGCCCAAGGGGCTTAAACTAAGAGGTAGAGGGTGGATGTAGGTGTAGGTCTTCCCCCTGAGCGAACTAGCTCAGAGGAAAGGTTTTAGGTGCACGGTAAGGGAAGAGGCCTCAGTCCCCGACGTCTCTTACTGCCTACACTGGACGAGGGTTTGACGTGATTAGAGTCAAAGGACGCTTTCCCTCCCCAGCGGACCATAGCGCCGCGGCTGGGAGACCCGGCCGGACAGACCCGCGGGGGCGAGGCTGCGCCCTGCACCCCCACCCCACCCCGGGAGCCCCTCAGCACCCCTCCTCCCCGGCCCCACCCGTCCGCCCGCAGCTGCAGCAGCGCCCCGGGCTCGACCTCGCTGCCGAAGGCCAGCTTGGCGGAGGCGGCGGCCAAGGCCCCGAACGCGCCGGCGCACAGGCAGTTGAACACGCCCCAGAAGCGGCGCCGCATCGCGCCGGCCTGGAGATGCTGGGGGAGTTCGGCAGGGGTGTCGGGGTAGGCGGTAGCAGACACGGCGCCGCCCGGCGGCTGCGGCCTCTCGGCCATGACGCCTGCCGCCACCTTTCCCTGTGCCCACTGCTAGGCACCCGCAGGGCCGAGCGCTCGCTGTGATTGGACGGCTACCTCATGTGACGGGCGCCCAAGTGACGCGGCGTCCAGTGAGGCCAATTGGGGCTCGCTCGCGCAGGGCTTCGGGGGCGTGGCGTCTGGGCCCTGCCCGGCGCGTCCTCCACCCGATGCCGTGGGTACCTGCTGTGCTAGGTTTGTTTGTTCGCGGTAAAGGACATCGGGACCGGGTGTCTGCGGCCGAGACTGGTACTATGGTTGCTGCTGTAGAACGTAAACTACTCGCGGCCTAGCAGTATCGATCCTGGCCACTGGGTGTGGTCCTTCATCGGCTTCCTCTGTGATCTTGTTAAAAGATCCCCGTACCCCAGGCTCCGCCCCAGACCCAGAGTCAGTCTACATTTTAACAATGCCTCCCGCAGATTCACCTGCTCCTTCCAGTTTGAGAAGTGCGGAATGGTCAGATGCTTCGGCAGAGAGCGCTGGAGATCTCCAGACTGAGAAAGGTGCCGGCAGTTCTGACAAATCAAAAGCCTCCAAATGGTACACGTAAATTATAGCAAATTTAGAAAACATGGATGAGCAATGAGAAAAAAATAAGCCATCCATAATCACTCCATTCAGATAACCAGGATTAACATTACTTCTGATTTACTATGCACTTATATATATGTTTAAAATGTTTTCATTTTAAAAAGCACATTTCTGGGCCCTCCCGTGGCTCACTTGGGAGAGTGTGGTGCTGACAACACCAAGAGTTAAGATCCCCTTAACCAGTCGTCTTTTAAAAAAATAAATAAAATGAAAAGTACATTTCCTTGAAAATAATAAAATACTACTACTACTCTCCAGGAAAATCACTGTTAGTACTTCTCTATGCATCTTTAATTATATAGAACAAATGTCAAAAAATTTATATAAATGTATGGGACTTTTTTTTGAAACAAAAATTATTTCACAGTCAATATAGTGTTCAGCAGCATTTTTTATTTACCTTCCAGGAAGTTTTCATGGAAGACCTTCAACGCCACTTGGTTGTTCTCACAGGGTGGTTTTGCGGTTCAAATAAGGGCATGGATAGCCCCAATAACTCCTATGTGGTACAAACTGTTTCATTTTGCAGATGAAATTGAAGGCTGAGAGAAGCCTCACTGTACCATTCCACTAAGCAAAGACCTGTGTGAATCCCAGCTCAAAGATGATCCCCTCTAAAAGTTCTTATTTGGAACCTTCAGGAAATCAAGTAGTGTTGCACTGATTAACTCTGCATGCTTTAAAGAATGTAAAACGAGTTTTCTTAGAACAAATGATGTGTCTCAGAGCCACCTCCTCTGTAAAGCAGTATCTGTTGCTCCCCTACCTTTGCACTAGACCTGTAGTTGTTCCTCTGATTGTATGTTTGTCTTCCTAATTGCCTTTGAGCTCCTTGAGGGCAGGGACTGAATCGTCTTTCATTTCCAGGTCCCCAGTGCCTAGTGCAGGGTCTTGTTCTGGCGGTGATGGTTGAATTGACACCATCTTTGGCCACTCTGCTGGGAAGTGATTTCTGCCTCTTAGAAGTTCTTGTGTAAATAAATCACCTAGGGATCTTGTTAAAATGAAGATTCTTATTAGGTCTGGAGCTAAATCGAACTTCTGTATTTCTAACAGGCTCCCAGATGGTGCCAATGCTGGTCAAAGGACCATACTGAGTAGCGAGGCTCTAAATGATTGTTGCCCTCAGTGCACTCAAGCACTTTGCAGCATACTTGCCTCCCTAACAGGGGGCTCTGTCAGGGCAGAAACCATACATGTCTTCCCTTTGTTCCTGCCACAGTGCCCAATACTGTGACCAGCTCATGTCCTTGCTATAGATGTCTGACTGAGTAGGCTATGCTTTGATTATCAAAAAAACCCACAATAAACCAAAAAAACAAAAACAAAAATCTAAACTTACTAACAGCCACACAATGCAAACTAGAGCTGCCTGAACTAGGACAGTGTGGAGGGGAAGGAATATCCCACTCCACGTTTACTTTCAAAGTCAATCAAACCTCAAAGATGGCTTATGAGCAAAAGATGACCCATTGAGTTCTGGGAAGCCCCTTCAAACTCCCCCTTAACTTTAAGGGGCAGAAGTCACAAACTTAAGAGGCCTTAGGAACACAGGAGGGAATTTCAAAGTGTGAAGCCCCTGGTGTGAGACAGTAGAGAAGTGTGGGGCCTGTATTGGTGACCTAGGGAATGATTGCCTTCTCTCTATTGCCCTCTCTTCAACCTTACTTACCTCAGCCTCTTTCTTTCTTCTTCCTCTTTTCACTATGTCCATTTCTCTGCCTCTTTGTTCTGTTCGGTTAAACAAATAAGCACATACTGTGGGCCAGGCTCTGTTCTAGGCAGCAGAGTCACCTGGATGCCTAAGACAAGATCCTTACACTCTCTGAGTTCCAATTTTTTGCAAAAATCTCAGTTCTAACTCCCTGGCCTGAGCTGGCCCACAGAAAACTATCTCCTTTCCCTGCTATCAGTGATGTTATAGGTTGAATTCTATCCTCCCGAAAGATATGTTGAAAATTTAATCCATGGTACATGTGAATGTGACCTTATTTGGAAATAGGGTCATTGCAGATGTAATCAAATTAAGATGAGGTCATTAGGGTAAACCATAATCCAGGATGACTAGTGTCCTTTTAAGGAGACAGAAACACAGAGAACACCATGTGACACTGGAGGCAGAGACTGGAGTGATGCACCTACAATCTAAGGAACACCAAGGATTTTTGGCAATGCCAGAAGCTAAGAAAAAGGCATGGAACAGATTCTTCCCCAAAGTCCTCAGAGAGAGCAAGGCCCTGCCAAGACCTTGATTTTGGACTTTTAGCCTCTAGAACTGTGGGGAAAATAACTTTCTGTTGTTTTAAGCCACCCAGTTTGCAGTAATTTGTTATGGCAGTCCTAAGTCAATACAGGCAATATGACTCAAGTCTCTTCACTACCAGTTTCAATGCTTTACCTTCTCCCACCTCTAAGGCAGTCACAGTGTCTGCTCACTACCTTACATTGAATTTTACTTCCCTTTTCACTTCCAGCCCACAGGAATTTACTATTATTCCTTGAGAGTTCAACTACGCCTTAATTAAACAATTTTTTTTACATCTTCATTGAAGTATGATTTACAAATCATAAAATTCACCCATTTTGAATGCACAGTTCAATTTTTAAGAAATTTATAGAGCTATGTAACCATCCCCACAAACCACCTCAGAAAGTTCCCTTGTGCCTATATAGTCATTCTCACTCCCATCCCCAATCCCAAGCAACCAATGACTTACTTTCTGTCTCTACAATTTTGCCTTTTCTGGGCATTTCATATAAATGGAAGCATACAATACGCAGTCTTTTAGGTCTGGCTTCTTTCATTTATGTTTCTTGAGGTTTATCCATGCTGTAGAATGTATCAGACTGTCCCTTTTTTACTGCTGATTGGTATTCCATAATATGGATGTTTTAGTCCGTTTTGTGTTGCTATAACAGAATACCTGAGACTGGGTAATTTATAAGGAAAAGAGGTTTATTTGGCTTATGATTCTGGGACAGCTACATCTGGCATGGGCCTCAAGCTGCTTCTACTCATGGTGGAAAGTGGCAGGCAGCCGGCGGGTACAAGCAGATCACATGGTGACAGGAAGCAAGAGAGAGAGAAGGTGCCAGGGTCTTTTTAAGAAACAAGCTCTTGGGCCGAGCCCGTGGCGCACTCGGGAGAGTGCAGTGCTGCTCCGCCACGGGTTCAGATCCTATATAGGGATGACCGGTGCGCTCACAGCGCTCACTGGCTGAGTGCGGTGCAGACGGTCTCAAAAAGGACAAAAAAAGAAAGAAAGAAACAAGCTCTTGTGGGAACTAACAAAGCAAGAACTCACTCATTAATCCCCCCTCCCCCAGGGAGAACATTAATCCATTCATGAGGGATCTGCCCCCATGACTCAATCAGTTTCCAACACTGTCACATTGCAGATCAAATTTCCACATGAGTTTTGGAGGGGACAACAAATCCAAACTCCATCAATGGAAAAATGTTTAATGACATCAGTCATTAGGAAAATACAAGTGACATACCACTACACCCAATAGCATGGTTAGTAAAAAACCTTGATGGCAAGGAAAAATTGGAACACACTGCTGGTGGGAATGTAGGATGGTGCAGCCAAATGGTGCATTTGGAAAACAGCTAGGCAATGTGTGAAAAAATTAAACACATGCTTCCCAGATGACCAGGCAATTCCACTCCTGGGTATCTACTCAAGAGATGTGAAATGTATATGTACACCAAGACTCATACACAAATATTTATAGCAGCATTATTCACAATAGTTCCAAAATGGAACAACTCAAATGTCCATTGTATTAGTCCATTTCTGTTGCTTATAACAAAATACCTGGAACTGGGTACTTTGTAAAAACATGAAATTTATTTGCTTACCATTTCTCAGGCTAGAAGGTCCAAAGTCCAGGGACCACATCCGGTGAGGGTCTTGGTGGTGGTGACAGTGACAGCATGGTATCACATTGCAGAAATGGCAGAGCAGAGAAAGAGACTAACCTCATTCACTCTCCTTTTAAAGCCCTCCAAACCATGCCCATGACCATTTTTGATCCATTCACTACAGCATGGTTCTACAATCTAATCACCTCTTCAATGTCCTACCTTTCAATTACCATAATAGGATCTCTCAGCCTCTTTACACTGTCACAGTGGGAACTGAGTTTTGGGGGGACATTCAACCCAAGGCATCCATCAGCAGGTGAATGGATAAATAAAATGTGGCATCGTGGGCCGAGCCCGTGGCGCACTCGGGAGAGTGCTCCCGCCGCGGGTTCGGATCCTTTATAGGGATGACCAGTGCGCTCACAGCGCTCACTGGCTGAGCGCGGTGCGGCCGGTCTCAAAAAGGACAAACACACACACACACACAAAAAAAAATGTGGCATAGCTATACACTGGAAAATTACTTTCAATAAACAGGAATGAAGTTCTGATATATCAAAGTTCCTTGAGAGCAGGGGTTTTTGCTTTTTAATTGATGATCAGTGGCTGGCATTATAGGTGACCGTAGGTATATGTTGAATGAACAAGTGAATGAACAATGTAAATTGCTTTTAAACTTTATTATTGAAAGATTTTTTAAATGGCCATATTTACAGTCATAGAAAATGCTTATGAGAGTACTTAAAGTAGGAATAAAAAAATAGTCTATATTAACACATCTGCTTATCATACATGCTATGAAATCAGCCATGAAATTCACATTATTAGAGCTTCTGTAAGAATCAAAGGAGATTATGGCATTATCTAAGAAGAAAATGATCTGACCAACATCCACTGTGAACATTAGCTAAAGGCTTTTATTTTAACAAGGCAAAAAGTTTTTCCAGTATTTATAGTTGATTTAAAGCCTTGAAATGGGATGATAGTCACTTAACAGCAGATTGCCAACTGTCACAGGGTGTATATGGATGCAGAATGTTCGTAAGAAACTTGAGGGTCGGGCCGGCCTGTGGCTCACTCGGTAGAGTGTGGTGCTGATAACACCAAGGCCACGGGTTTGGATCCCGTATAGGGATGGCCGGTTCGCTCACTGGCTGAGCGTGGTGCTGACAACACCAAGTCAAGGGTTAAAATCCCCTTTCCGGTCATCTTTTAAAAAAAAAAAAAAAAAAAGAAAGAAACTTGAGGGTCAGCCACCACCATATACACATTTAGTAATTAAGGTCCTTAAATTCAGATCTACTTAGTGGGCAGGAGTAGATCTTATTTTTAAAAGAGAAAAAAAAAACTCTCCAAACAAACAAGGTGATGCCTAGGTAGTTGACTAGGATCCTTATGATTCATTCTTTTTCTTTTCTTTTAAAAATACATTTTCAGCATGCAACTTTTCAATCTCCTGGTAAGTAATTTTTAAAAAAGAAAAAGAAAAAATTAAGGCTCTAATTCTTACAGAAAGAGCTATTGTTCTTGGCATTTGTTAAGTACATATTTCAAATTAAGACTACAAATTTTAATATGTAAACTAAATATTAAACAAGAACTTGACATCTATGAGAATTTAACTGATTGAATTATGCTTAAACTAGCAACAACCAACATTTTTTTTTTTAATTTGGAAGTTCTCTGAAGTAAGCAGTTAACTGATTCAATAATTAAACTTTAATTTTAATAAAAGAATCATTTTTAAACCAGAGCGAATTTATTCAGAATAATTTTCAGAGTTTACCTCAGCAAATCTGACATTTTCCTTCTTCAGTCGCACTACATATTGAATCTTCTGATGCAGGTTTTGGTGACCTACCAACTTTCCATTTTCCTTAGCAAGATATTCCACCTGCTTCCTTAATATTTCCATCTCCTGCAGGTAAATCAATCCAACAAGGGGAAAGTGAGAAGCAGGTCTTAATTTTTCTTTTAAAATCACACTGCCTTCCAAGACCACAGGAAGGGAGAGACAAAGTCCAGATTCCCATCTTTCATCATCACATATATCCCTGCATACACTAGAATAACTCCAAACTAAGGACAGACACTGCATTGCAGAAATGAATTTTCACAGAAATGAATTTATGCTGATTTTTTTCATTCAAGTGTCCCAAGTACCATAAAAAAACCAACACACATACGCACTTGGAATGTTCTCTCCCTTTCTTCATACATTTCTTCCATCTTTGATCTTAGTTGTTCCTTTTCCTGGAATGCTTTCGACTCCCAAGTTCTGGTTCGTTCAACTTCCTCAATCATTCTAAGGCAGTCTATCTCTTTGTTGTGAAGGACACTTTGGACTTCTTCTAGTCTATAAGAATAAATATCACTTCTTTTAGGTATTCCAAAGGAACATAATTACAAAACAGCACTCAAGTTAGGTATTTTCCCCCCAAGCCCAGAATTTTGATTTGAAGGTATCACTAATCTTCATCCTTCTGTTACTGACAGCAAAAGAAGACAGTAAGTGCTACATATCAGACATACTTTTTTGTTTGTTTTACCCAAGACTTTCATTTTGTAAAACTCAAACCATTTTTTAAATAATAAAAAATTTAGAATAAAATTCTTTTAGATTGAGCCCGCTTGGAGCAAATGGAATTTAAGTATCATTAGTCTACATGGTTTATTCTGTGTCCCATATCTTACAGTAAACTTTTCTGATTTCAAAAACTGGTCCTCAGACAGTGGGACACTGGTCATTTCTTCAAAGATGTGCTATGTAGAACTTATACACTTTATATAACTATCAACTGAAAAGAAACAAGGTTACTATTGTTATACAGAATTTCACCAACTTTATAAAATTGTCTGAATCCTATCGGTTTCCCAAAAGTAACAAACACTTTTTTACAATGCATATGGAATATAATATTGATTACTGAAGGCCAGCTAATTTCTAGGGGAGCTGTTTCCAGACTAAACTCTGTGGAACTCAGGACAGTGTGGGGAGAAGGGCAATGATGTTCTCCCAATTCATCTGGAGCTGCTCCGCATTCACCTTGTCTCATTTTGCTGTAGTTTGATACAAAGGCTCAATGGCATGGCAGATGCTATAGTTGCCAATCCAACAGCTGCTTCTTCCTTGTTTATAAAAACTCAATTTCATGTGGAGAAGGAGAGTAGGGGAGAGAAGCACACACTTCCTAAAGGGTAAACAATTACTGGTCTAAGCTGAGCATGGTTATCCTTACTACCCCACTGTCAAATACTGGTTTTCTCAGCTTACACCAAAGGTATGCAACATATGCCTATTCTGGCCAAGGAGACACAAGCTAATTCTAGGGGGCTTCTGAAAAAAGAAAGCCCTTTGAATCCACCTCACTGTAGGCTGTTATCTTCTTCTGGAGATATGATGTTTAGAGCTGCAGTGGCCATCTTGTGGCCAAGAGGCCACAAGCAAGTGTACCAAAAGCAGAACAATGGGAAGAGTCAGGGTCCTTGATGGCATCACTGAATCAATGCACCTCTAGGCCCCTTGTTACATGAAATTAAACATCTCCTGCCTATACCATTGTTAGCTTGGTATTTGGTTCCCTGTAGCTTTTAACAACATCCTCACTTATGCATATAGATAACGTAATGTGTAAAATCACTGCTGTAGGCTAGAACTGATAAAACAGTGTGTGTCATTTGCTAGAGTGTGCTCTCCTTGCCCAGAGTGAAGTGTGGGCTCCTATATGTTCTAGGGACAGCATATCACTGAAGACTCTTGGTTACTACACTATGAAATAAATTACATGTCAAGTTAGATAGCTTTTACTCTTTTTGCTAGAAGGCCTCAAATGGACATTATTTCTAAAACAGCAGCAATTCTACAAACTATATAGCTGGATTCTCAAAGATCCTGTAAGTGATCTTGGTTTCTGTCTTAGCTCTACCACTGACTGACTGGGAGCCAGTCTCTAACTGCTCATATGTATATGAAAAGGTTGCTTCCACAAGTATACTACTCTCTGATTTTACGTAGCAAATGACTCAATGACTGGGTAACAAATTTTTCACAAGTTGGATGGCCTTTGACAGCTGATCATTACAATGAATTTTTGATCATAGATCACCACGTAATTTCTGGCATTTTAAACTTGGTCAAAGTTCAATTAATTGAATGACAGTATTCTAATAAAATTCCTTCCATTGCCATTTACTTACTATGTGAATAAGATTTCTCAGCATTTATATCTATTAAAAATAGAAGATAGGAATAGAAATGATATTAAATCCTGCTTCATTTCAGAATTAAGTATAACAGAATAATGGGGTGATTGATGAAAAAGCATTAGGATAAAATACATTCAGAGATGCATTTCCACTAAAATTTTACTTACTAAGTATAATAATTATTTACTTAGAAAAATTTACAATAAATTTAGATTACTTTGATTAATAATTGTAATGAAAACTCAATTAGGAAAAAATATGAGTCATACAGTTAAAATAAACTTTTAAAAATTATTTCCTATTTTTATACATATTTTCATTGCTAGGTAGTGCAATAGAGTAACCAATAAAAAATTTTCGAAAAAATATATTAAATTAGGATAAATATCTGCCGGGTACAGAATGGAAACTCGATTTCAAGGGAAAAGGAAACAAGGTAAAATTTTAGTCTCAGGAATTTGTTCATGTATTTTTTAAATGGATAGAAAGTAGCAAATTAGGGCCGGCCCAGTGGCGCACTGGATAGTGCGCCACTTGGGAAGCGCGGCGGCGCTCCCGCCCGAGGGTTCGGATCCCACATACAGAT